GTTTTGATGAAATATGTGTTTCTTTGTGTTTCAGTGAGTGAGAACCTAGAAGTTGAACAGACTCTGAGGCAAAATTCATGTCACGATTTTGGTATTTTAGATCTTCAGCAGCTGGCACTGAACACCTCACCCCCTCCCCAGGCAGGGAGGAAGAGGGTGGGTGGAGGGGGGTGGGGGCTTCCTTTCCTAAAAAAAAAAAAAAAAAACACACTCCCAGCTCTGGCTGTTTACATTACATCTCTTTGGCACGTCTGTGGCTGTTTCCATGGAGACGGGAGTAAAGATAGTTGGGATGTCTCGGAGATACAGTGCACCGAGTGGTGCTGATTGCTGGACGTGAGTTGAACAATGAACAGGGAACACAAGAAGTGGAAGAGGGGGGGTGCTGGCTCACCATTATAGCAGCCTGAAGCTGAGAGAGGAATGACTGCTAGCTGCCAGGCCGATAATCTTTTTTGGCAGCAGCTGCTTTGTTTTTGCTCACTGGGAAATGGCATTTAAAGCTGCACAAAACATGACGATGGGGTTAAAAACACACCTGTGACCTAAAGTGATGCTAAAATAATTTCCTCCCACTAACTGCTGCACATTTTACTGAATGATCTTCTGGTGTTAGACACTGAGAGGTTCAGTTTGGAGTAAAAAAAAGTCTGATATATGTGTTAATGTCTTGTAGTAGCAAAACGAGTATTCTAAGCTTTGTCCAGATAAAGATGGATCAACCAAAGATAGTTTCTCATCTTTCAACCCTTTGCTTTTCTTTATCATAAAACATTATATCAAACACCAAACATGCCCAATTTGACTGCTTTGATTAAAAGGCATAACAGCTGGAAAATGAATACAGTCTTGAATTATTTATGGAGCAGTTTCTTGTGGAAATTAATGACTTAGTTACTTAGAGGCAAATTAAAGAACTGATTCAGATGTTTGCCTTTATTTGACCTAAAATTAGTCCTGAGTCATGTATATGGTTTTTTCTACAAACCTTGTGCAAAATTGTATTGTAATGCATTTAGGACACATAAAATAGTGTTAACTGTGCATGGCATCTGCAATTTGGAGTCACAGTTTGGGATTTCTGGGAAAATGGGTTCAATACTTACTGTCATTTATGACTGTTCCAAAATCCCTTTAAGCTATGAGCTAAAATTCATCTGTATGCGTTAAAGGATAATGATAATCACCTTTATTGGTCAAGTATGCTACACACAAGGAATTTGTTTCCGGTACAGAACCGAGCCATCTGCAGCACCAACTCAACTGATGGCTCTAACCATCAGCGACAACTTGGGGGTTCAATATCTTGCCCAAGGACACCTCGACACATGGACTGCAGGCACCGAGATTCAAACCTCTGACTCTCTGGTAGGGAGATGACTGCTCTATCCACTGAACTACGGTTGCCCCCGTCATGTTTGACCTGAAATAAAAAAGTCACTTTCAGCTTTTCCCGTTTAGTGGTCGCCACAGCGAATTGTCACACTGATGACTCACATGTTGACATTTTGCCGGATGCCCTTCCTGACTCGAACCCAGGCCGCAGCGGCGAGAGTGCTGCGCCTTAGCCACTAGCCTACAAGGGACGGCCTGAAATAATTTTTAAAAAGTCTGCTTAATAGCTTAACTGACAGTTTTCTACCATATTTCAAAGCCTATATGAAAATGGAGTTTTTTGTTTTCATCACCTGAGTTCAATGTTGATGTTAAACAGCCACATGATAATGCCACTGATAAAGATTGTGAAGTGGGCATGAGGTGGGATTGAAAGCTCTGGAAAAAGTTCATAAGGGAACTTTGTGTTAAGATATTTTTGTGAAGCTGGTATTGTATTCTGTAAAACAGAAGTAACAATAGCTCAAACACAGATGTTTGTTCTTTAAATTTTTTTTTCAGTAAGACAAAATCACTGAAGAAGAAAACAGGGCAAATGAAGCAAAGAAAAAACAATCAGTTAAAATAGTTTATATGAATCTCTCACGTAGCATTTACCTTTACTCTATACACATTGTATTGACTGTGATATACAGTATGCCATCTTTTTTGTCCCTTTTTTTTTTTTTTACAATTTGACAAATTTTTTTTGAGCATGCACTTTAGAATGCCAACAAAAGGCTCCACAAATACAGACTTCAAACTAGAATTTTCCTCACAGTAAAACATACAAAACATGAACTGGGATCAAAAGCTTGACAGTTTGAGAACACAGTGGAAAAGCACAGCATCAGACTACCATGACTTTTACAAGTAAGAGCAATGTACAGTAACACACAAAAATACATGTTCTGGATTCAGAAAAATAAACATTTTTTTTTCAAGTTACAATGTTGTCCTAAAAATACACAGAGAATGGTAACTCTTTGTCAATTCAAAGAGTAAAGCAGCGAGTGTACTACACAAGGAGGTTTGTGGGAACAGGGTGACACTGGAACAGCTAGCTAAAAACTGTGCAGGTCACAGCTAACATGACACGCCTGCCAGTCTTTTCTATCAGCTGTCAGAGCTGCATTTTCGCTCTGTTTTCTTTCTGCCTTTTTGTTATAACGGGCTGCTGAAATCACAGTGTGGATCGGTGCTTTTTGTTTTTGGGTGCTTATTGCAAATCCGATTTGATTGTTTGGGCACATGGGGTTGCTACTGTGCAGAAGTAGCCATTCTAGAAGTCCCACTTTATAACTTGGTAAACTTCTGCTACACTTTTGCTCCACCCCCACAAGGGGAAAAGTTTGGAAGAATCAAGTTATGCAGTTCTTTTTAGACACCAGGAGTTATGAGGAATAATCTGGTAAGAATAATTTTGGTATGTGAAGAGACAAACATCTGCAGCACTAACACAGGGTAGTTGCATGTTAAATGCATGATAGTGGGGACTTCTACAACGGCAACTGCATCATGGGGGTTGGGGGGGCTCTGTCTTCATCATGTTTGTACTAAAACAAACTGGAAGAATGACAGCATTAAGTCCACTTGTCACTCTCGGCTGGCCTAGCCTTTCAAACTGCAGATCTTACCCTGGAGTTTTAGAATACACACATATTAAACACACAGCAGAGCAATTAACCTACTGAAAATTACCAAGGGAAACAAAAGTAGAGATGACCATAATGTTACGTTTATTCAATTTAGCATGTTTGTCTTTCTATTACTGTATATACTTTATGTAGAATTTCATACATGAATACACTCTACTTTTAGAACACAAAGTGCCTCAACATTTTAATACACTTATTGCAAGGGGGGGATACCACAGCAAGAAAAGTGACTGACGTTGAGTGTCATGGTGCGACTGAGCAACCAACCACCTTGTTACCTGACTTGCCATCAAAAGAGAGATGTGTCAACAGAGCTGCTTGGCCCAGATGTGCTGTGCTGCTGTCTTATTTACAATATCTATACAGTAAATTGTCTCTTTTAAGGTCATGTCCATTTTGCTTTGCTCTCCTTTACTGCAAAGTTCCAAAACAGGGAAACAAAAAGAGAAATCAGGAAAAGGTAAATGCTTATCAAAGTCCTCAAAGGTTTAATTGGCTTTCCTGTTTGCTGAACCATGAGCTGGGCGGCTGTCAGTCAGCGGCTTTTTATCCTCGTCCGTATTGTCCTGCAGGAGTGGCCTTATGGCTCCAAATGGGGTCCTCCCACTGCAATAGGTCCTCATACTGATGACAGTCTTATCCCACTGTCATTCAAATAGGAAATGATTTATCTAAATAAAATATAAGCACATCTCTAAATATCAGAAATGCATCTGTCTTTGTTGAGCATATTTTCAGAAGACCTTGTCATGCACACACTGGCTGTTTGAAATATATGCACAAAACAACACAGTACAAATCTATGGTGCTCCTTATATCTACAATTAAAAAAGGTCTATTGTACTGATTTACAGTAAGTAGGGGTGATTCAATAATTTGGTGTAAGAGAAATGTTTTAAGAGCTTTTTGTTAAATTGTTTGACTTTCTGCTGTGAGATGCATCTAGCTGGGAGCCAGTTGCTAAGCAACCTTCTGCTACTAGTATAGATGTAGGCTACTGTAGGGATGGGTGAGGCACATTACCGCATGGTTATGTTTGCTGTCCCACACCTGTTAACAGGTGTTATAAAAATTTTTGGGGGGGAGTTTGCAACAAGGTTGTACTTTTGGTGCAAATCATGCTAATTTTTAACAGAATTTGGTGGAATGTGATGCAGAATTATCCTCTGATTAAAACACTACAAGATGTACCTTTAATGGTGCCACCAAGGGTACATGTTTGTCTCTGCAACCATATACAAATATCTCTTTTTAGGATTATTGAATAACCCCAGTTTTTAGTACACACACAAAAACACAAATCAGACCAAAAGGGTAAGAGGGTTCTGCACTGCAATCTGAACCCCAAACCCGTTTAGATGGTTACCTTTCCACAACAGCGGTGCCTTCCCCCAAAGTCATTAAGATAGAATGCTGCTCTCTGCTTGTGTGAAACCAGTAAAGACAATCTCTTTGCAGTTATCTGTGAGCAAACAACCAGAGACACAACAGCTTTGGTGGCACTTAGTCAAAGAAAAAAAACATAAATGAGAGGGGAAGGAAGAAAATAGCAGCATACAAGCAAGAACCCCACATGCACAGAGACACTAACACTGAGCTGACAATCAGTGTTTTTAGTCTCCTTGGTGGATTGTTGGTGTAACACATGGCAAAATGGTAACATACTATAATCCAAAAACCTTACCCCTTAACATACATACAGGTGAGTGACAAAAGAAACATTAAGATAAAGTGAATTACACTTTTTAGGAAAGTGTCTCCAGTGTAGCTTCAGTGCTCCATTCAGTAACCGGTGTCTCCAGTGTAGCTTCAGTGCTCCATTCAGTAACCGAAAGCAGCATTCATTAGTCAGTTCACAGGTAAACAATTACCCGAAACTATTTTAAAGCAAAAATTACAAATGTTTTCTCATTCGACTTTCGATAATATATATTATATTTATGTATATACACATATATAATTGATTTTAACTTGTCACCCACCTGTATTATATTTATGTATCAATCTATATACTGTATCTCTCTATATCTATATTTATATATGTATACACATACACACATACACACATAGGTGTGTGTGTATATATGTGTGTGTAGCTTTAAGGTGTCCTCACTTTCTGTTTATTCCTTCTCCCCTTGCCACATTGCTTGAAGACAATGGTTACAGGATGATCCATGCAAAATCATGAGCTAGGCCAGCAGCAGGTGAAGACTGACAGATGTGTGCTTGTGTGAGTCACAACACAGTCCTGAAAGATGACTCCTCCATCCCTGACACCCATCCCTCCCATCACCATCCCAAAAATAAAGGAGCATTACAAAGACATAGTCACAGTTGTATGAGGTTAAAATGAAGTGACATCTCTCTTTTTGTGGAAGCACATCTTTTTCAAGGTGTCTAAATATAGCAACATATAATATCCCTGATTATTAATATGTCCTTTATTAAATGTTATGGCTGCTACTTCTGAAGCCACCAGTCAGTTTTTTATTGCGTTTCAAATACGACAATACTGAACTAAAGGGAAGTCCATGTGACACAGGAGAACTAACTAGTTACTTAAGGATTTTAGCTAAACACATGTATTCTCAAGGAAAATGGGAAAGTGAGAAGTTGCTGATGTGGCCTAAATTATTAACATTAATCTTAGCTACAAAGTTAAGTACTTATACATTAGTTACAATATCTAGAACAGAGTTCAGATATAATACCAAAGACAGTTGGTTTGTTTAGGGGTAGGATGTGGGGTGCCTTAGGCCAAAGTGACCCTGGGTTGGACATCTCACAAGATGGAAGGGATAGGGGAGCGAGAGCGACGCAGCGGGCATGGAGATCCGTAGGGCGAGGTCACAGGAGACAACCTGAGGGCATTACCAGTCATGCCCGCTATGTTGTTTAAACTCCGGGATTTCTCATAGCCTTCAGATGAGGGGGCGACAGAGAGGTGGTGGTGGTTGTGGTTGTGCAGGAACAGGACATTAACACACACAGGCAGGCAGGCAGGCAGGCAGGCAGGCACGCAGGCAGGCAACGATCCGAGTCCGAGCCAGCCGAGGGGACCGAGACAAGAACACACAGGCAGGCAGGCAGGCAGGCAGGCAGGCACGCAGGCAGGCAACGATCCGAGTCCGAGCCAGCCGAGTGAACCGAGACAAGACAGGAGACAGGAGTGAGACAGAGGAACAGTAACATACTGTATGGTGCATGCACAGCACATCTCCTGTTACAGTGACACTAGGGCAAGTTGTACTCTTAGATAGGCAAATACTGCAGCTGGAGCTGCTCGTGAGGGAGAAATAACCTCACTGGCTGAGTGGGTAGAGCTAAAGAACCACATTTTTAGGACATGCTTAAGCTCATGTTGCATTAAAACTGGAAACTGGAACTTGAAACTGTGTCAGATCAGAAACATTACACTGGAGTGTCTTATTAATACTTAGCAATAAATCCTATGTCTTGGACACAGCTCCCATTCTGGTGGAAAATCATGTCAAATTGTCACAAAAACAATGTGCTATTTTACTTCAGCTCCTTAATGTGAAAACAAGACATTTATGTCACATCATTCAGATCATAATGATGAGCAGCCGAGTAGGGAAAATGGTGAGTCAAGCTATGACTATTACATTATTTGGCAAAAATGGTTTTGGTTCAACTTAAAAAAGCACTACAAATATGTAACACAATAAACAAAAGGCAACTTTAGGACAACAGCAGATATAACCATCTTGTAATAATAACTGCAGAGGCAGGATTTTACTGTTCTTCCCATTATGCGAAATACATGAAGTCATTCAACATGACTGAAAATGAAATGAAAACGGAGCTCTTGTCATAGCTGTTATGACTATATTGTTAACTAATCTAGCTGCAATGACTGCTAACATACTGTACATGAAGTCACATTTATAAATATGTTATCATTTAAAAGGAGCTGAAGCCCTGAGATATGCACAAATCCATAAAGACATCATTCACCCCATGTTGGCAAAACAGGTTGGAAAGGTCTTCCATTATTTAATCTTGGGAACATTTATTATTCAGTGATGGTTTGTTGAGCTAACAGAAAGATTCCCTATCTGTCAGAAATTCCCAGCCTTTAACTTGGAATTACAACTACAAGACTAACTTATATGAGTTTCCCACTTGATGGCTTGTAAATACAAGCTGATTAGCTATAGACCGGTTAGCTAATGTGCTAGTTGTTCCAAAAACTTACATTTTTTTAATTAATTGATTTATTTCTTTTTTATTTTGACCAATTCTTTGTTGGCATTTGAAGTTGCCATTCATCTAACAATAGTTCTCTGGCTCCATTTGTTCAGTCATTCATTCAACCAGTCAGTTTTAACCCACACAGTAACTCCACCTTTGAGGAACGCCTATGTGATTTCTATTCCAGCATGTGAGAGTTTAGTGTGCCAACCTTTTAGTCAAATAAAAAATAATGTTATTCTTAAGACAGTATGGTTAGAAATTAGAATAATACATTAGCAGTCAGTCACTCACCTCAGGGCATCATCATTAGTATTTTCTCTCACAAGAAATGTTTTTAAGATTACAAATCTTACTAATGTCCAAGAAGTGATAATAAATTCAGAAATACTTGTAAAAGCTGCATGAGGCACACACATTAGTTCAAATATATAACAATCATATGGAACCAAGTATAAATTCAGGTTGCAGCCTGCCACATAGCAATGATGACGGAAATGACTAAAGAGACTTCAGTTATTAATGTCTTAATTATCTGTACAGATTCACATTTTACAACAACTCAAACTATTACAAATGCAGCATGTGATAAAATAAACAAGCAAGCTAAAGCAGCCCGATCATTAATGGAGCATGCCAATCAGCTGGCGTAAACAGTGATGAGGAACAACTAATGGAAATGTGGCCTCATTACCATACTGCATACAGCAGCCATTTGTTTCAATGAGAGGAAGGGTGCAAATTAAACTAGGGTTGTTTCAAAGCCATTCTAGCTGGCCGAACAAAGGACAGCCTGGGTCTATGCCAACAAGTAGCAGGGACTAGAAAGGACCTAATGTTTTATGCATTAACATCAGCTTGGTGGTAACTGCAACTGTTGACTGAAGCAACAGGAATGAAGGCACAGCTGCTTGACCACCTATGTTGAAAAAACAAAAATGGCCCTGCTGTCAGAGAGACCACTATCATGTGTTCCTTGATGAACCTAGACTTTATGTACTCAATACCTAGCTTAAAAATCATCATCAAGTTATTTTAGTTTTGTCCTACCCTACATTTCAGAATAAGGCTCGACGGGTAAAGCTGGATTCTTCTGAAATGGCAGATAAAATTCACTTTAACAAATTCTTACAGGCACTCTAATATAGCATTGATTTGCCTGCTATAAAGTGAGTACGGCTGTACTGAGAGACTATGGCACAATAACACTGAGACGCAGTTTTCCGATAGAAAGCCATTATGTATCCCTGGCTTAACACCTACAGTACACATTATAGTGCAGGTAAGCACAACAGTACTGCCTTAATTTAAAATGGAGGAATTCATCTAACAAACATGCTTTGGGTCTTATGAAGTGTCTATGTATTATTTTTGTTGGCCAGTTTTTATTTTATACAAATAATGTGTCTGCTGCAATGATATCAACTGCACCATCACTTCACTTCCACTGTGTACACTGGTAAATTTTAGTTTCTGACCTTTCTGCATTTGAAATCACATGGAACAGCAACAGGGTCTTCTGGTAACTCAGCAGATGTGAAATTCACGATGACCTTTCATTTGGGTCAAAGGGTTTGGAAGGTCAAACCGTTTAAGAGCCTGACCTTTCTACCCATGCATTGCTACAGGACTGGAGGCAATGATGGATGGGCAAATCATTTGAAACTCTGACAGCAAAATTTGAAGACAAATTTTGTCAATGATATTTCTCAATGTAATGTATACTGGGTATTTTTGTACTTTTTGTCTGCCAGGTTTCAACAATGTCCAATCAGAAACAAGAATCGGGTTATCTTGGTGGTGCAACCAGAGCCGTGGTGAACTCAGGCTGTTTCACTTCTTCATTAATATAAAAATTCCTGGTAACAACATTAGTAAATGGCTTAATATTGACTATTTGTTAAGCCTTCTCTAAAGCAGCAATTGTTCAATCATTGTTTAGATAATTTAAGCAGGCATGACAGGAGAAGCACTGAATTTCTTTGTGCCAGGCTCTAGTGAGAGTGATAGGGGGCTAGAACAGTGTAATGAATGGATTAACCACACATGTTTGTCTACTCTAATGTAATTGATTATTGTTAACATGCATGGCTAGCTGCAGAAGTTAACCTACTGTATTTATTAGCCTCTTTCAGGACTGACACACCTGCTGCTTGAAGGCTGGTATAACGTTGGCCCCTGATGCAACTATGAGTAGTAAGTCTTTAGAGTAATGTTAGCAGCCATGTCATTCTTGATTTGGAAAAGTTGATCTGAGACAGATTTGCCAAAAGCAAATAATTAGTAACAATAAAGCATAAATATTAAGCATACTGGGGCCACCATCAATCATACAGCATAAGGTGCATGCTGCGCCCAATGCTGCTTCCATTTCCAATACATTTCATATTTACAAGTAACATGATGTCATGAGCATAAATTTCGTTGTGCAGTCAACATGTACAATGACAATGAAAGGCTTTTTATTCTATTCTTTTTTATTGTTTTCTCTCTTCTGGCTGTCCTCTACGTAAAGCACCTTGAGCGGACGTTAGGCTGGAATTGAGTGTTCTACAAATAAAGCCGAATTGTTTTATATGTTTTTTTATATATATATTTAACATCCATTTCCACTTTTTATCTTTCATGATAGTCAGTTGGAAACATTTAAAAGTCCGGGGGAGTCAGGGAGAGTTTTCAGCTGACACACTTTTGTGTTGGCTAGATACAGTAGCTAGCAACAGCTAGCATAATCCACCAGCTACACTTATTTCTGCTGGTAAAACGGATTTTAGCCAACTGAAAACAATAAGCCAGCCTTTTTCTAGTTGTGTCTAAAAGGCAAGGAGGCCTTGTTTAAAAAAATACTATGAGCTTTAATTGGTAGATCTTCCACTGTCATCGTTGTAAGCTGCAAATGTGCTGTGCTAGAATGAAAAGCTTGACAGGCATAGCAACAGCAACAGACAGGTGGGTGAGTTTGGCTAAGGGTCAAGGCTCTCTAGTAACGGTGCTTTCACACAGCAGGAAGTTGCTGCCACCATCCCCTTTGTTAATGTACTGTAAATGTGGTGGCAGTGGCAAGGATAGGGAGGTTGACTGCCACTCTGGTGAACACGCATCACTTTGTGCTGCCATCATGGGGACCAAGGTGATGGCTCAACTTTTTCACTTTGCCACCACAGGTGTGAACCACAAGGCTGAATGACGCGCCTGTTCACCAGCAGATAGATCAGTGAAGAAAAATGGTATTAACCAACATCAGCTTTAATGTTTGATTATTTGCTCTTGGACAATAAACAACTAATTAACTTGTTAAACTTGCTATATTAACTATATCATACCAATAATTATTTCACCTATTTTAAGCTACAACTTGTGATGTTCAGCTGTGTGATTAGTTTTTACCTGGTGGACAGCGGACAGCAGAAGCCTGTTTTGTATAGGCTGATAGGGCTGGATGTGGTGTTGTGCCCACCTGCAGCCTATTCAGAATGAACCATAGTAACATTGTCTACATAGCAACAAATGTTAACATGTTACAAATGAAGAAGTCAAAATATTTGAGGTGATGGGATTAATAACTATTACTTCACCCATTTTAATTCCACTGATTGGGATATATCTGCTGGTGTATCATCACTTTAGAGGCAGATTATACACTGGGTAATTTATCTGGGAGCTGAAGATGGGCAATGAACATGGCAGCAGGTGAAAAATTGAAACACAAGGTCAGAAATTTATTCGTGTTTCCAGGCAACAAGAAAACATGAATAAATTGTGAAGCAAGCAACAGTTCTAAGTCAGCTGCATGGACACTGTTGCCCCTCAGAAAACGTGTTGTGTGCCAAAACAGCAGGTCCACAGGTTACATTACCTTATCTGACTAAGCCTGAACAAACAGCCTTCCCCCCTCCAGGGATGTTGGTGTCCCAGTCACTAAAGATATGGATCAGCTGATGAGGATGTTTCTGCTACTGGCTGTGTTTTTAAGGTCTTTTAAACATGTTGTGCTCTGGCATTTGTATTTTAATGGTAAAACATATGTGCAATATGAACTAATCTGACTTCCATTCAGTCTATTCAAAGAATATTTCACACATACTGAAAAAAATAGTGGTCAAGAAGTGATGACAAAAATTAATCTGTATTAATACACAACAGCAAGCATGGATTTCAGAATGATTCTTTAAAGACACAAAAATATTGTACAGCTTTTAAAGAAATACTTACTTTAAAGAATACTTTTGGGAGATGATAATCATCCATACTTTAAAATGTTTACTGAATTATTGATTTAGTTAATGATTTTGTAAAGCCACTGAATGTCATGTAGTTACCTGTTTTTCGTATGCCTCCATCTGCAGGGCAGGTGTAGTCACTAGCAGCAAGCAGGAAGCATGTCCCCCCGCTGCAGCGATCCTGTTCCCTCGTGCTGGACCTTCGCATGGGGACCCTCTCCTCTGGAGACATGGTCAGATCACTGCCTCCACTGCAGTCCGCTGACAGAACTGTAAGAAAGGTAAAAGGGCAGATTATACAGTAGTAGACCTGAAGTATTCTGACTTTTTCTTTTTGCTAGTTCTATTCTGTAATTAATTTTCATTTTCTTCACTTCATAAAATCTGCCATAAACTAGATTGAGACTAGACTGACTAATAAATATGTCTCAACTGTAAAAAGCCCTAAGGAATATATTGACTGTCCAATTCAGCTTTAGTTGTGGCATTATTTTCTTGATTCTAAATAATTCAATAATATTCTTTTAACCATTTCATTCCCTTCATTCTAGTCTGGCTTTTAACCTTTTAAAATTTTAAAGCCAGTAACATTTCTCTGGTGAAAACAACCTTTTTTGTTGGGAATATGATTTACATGTGCTTGACCTTAATGTCATATTTTAGGTCAGACTGAAGGCATTTATTGTGATTGGACTGGACTATTGTTTTGTTGTTGGGTTAGTGAAAAAATACTTTAAAAATGTCCTTAATAGCTTGTGTTGTATATAAATCATAATTAAGTACAAAATCAACTAAAAGCTCAAAATCTGGATAGAAACTAATGTTATTTTACAACACATCACATCATGAAATAACTTCTCTTTTTGTTTGCACTAACTAAAAATTAAAAAATTAAAAAAAGTGGGAAAATGCAAATATAGTGCATAATTATCTATATAAATTAAAGATACTTTAATTTATTTGTTACCACAATATATAACATTTAATTATTTTCAAATGATAACCTTTTTCTCACAATCTGACAGGTCAAGTTATTCCCTCTTGGGAACAATAAATAGGAATTGTTCTTCCCAGTGGTATATTCCCAGTTATAAAAAAGCAAAAAGAGAGATTTGATGGAGTCAGGGAACAGGGGAGTTTTCAGGATGGATGTGTGTAGGGGTTGCCAGGGAAATCCTAGTCACAACAAACATCAAACAGCCTCTCACAGTAAAAGCCTGCATCAAATATCACAAACACCATCATATAGTATAGTACAGTCAAAGTTCAGGGGATGTGTAGTGCTCCAGTCGATGAGAAATCATATTATATTTAAGCCATAAAGAAGTTTTTATGACAAACAAAAAATCTCTTTACTTGTAGAATAACTACATTTTTTTTATACCTTGAGGATAAAGAAATGGTTGATTTATCCACTGCCCATCCACTTTATTAGGTACACATGAACAATTGTATGCAATTCAATGCAACACTTCTGCCTTAACATTTACATGAAGCCCAAAATGTTTCAGTTTTTGCTGAAACTGTCATAAATGTATAAATTCAATAAAAATGTTTATTATTGAGGTCATAGTTAAAGGTGGTGTTGTACTGGACTACATTATATTCAGAGGTGTCTATATTTTTTGTCCTCCCCAGCTACATACATGAGAAGGTCAGGATATTAGGAACACCTCTGAATTTCACCAAAAACTGAAACATTTTCATAAACACGGATGTTAAGGCAGAAGTGTTGCACTGCTGGGCAGTGTATATTATGCTCATTAATGTTGATGAAAAGACCAAAATGAGCAATGACTTTGCCCTTCTAACCAAACTCTAAATGAAGCTACAATTCATACAGTTATGTCCATACCACAAGGATTTTCTATTTATAACAACCAAGACCTAAAAGTAAATTTCTTTTAACTTTTAATTTAAAGGTGGCTTCAGACTGTTTAATCTCAAAGTAAATCCACATATAGTAAATGTGACATGGTCATACAGTGTATGTCAAATGGAACCTTTTATACTGCACCATTAAACATGAGGCAATCTAAAGGACACTGAGAGTAACCTTGCAATAAATGACCAATAAAGAAAACACAACAAACCCAGATTGATAGTACATTCAGTTGAGGCATGAATTATTCCATGCTTATTAATAAAGAGACCTAATAAACAATTAGACTGAAAGGAGCCCAGAGCCCGCACCTAGCCTCAGGACTGTCTGTATTACATGTTCAAAAAAGTCAGTACACAGAATTTGACATTAATTTCCATCAATATGAGATGTGTCATGGTAAACTGATCTTTAGATCTATGATCTTAACAGCAAATAGACACAAGAACTCTGAATTCATCTTCTATTCTCAATGCCTTTTGCATTGTCTTCCTCATCACGTGGGCAACCAGAGATGAAGGCTGGTGTACCCTTGCTCATAATTTTATCTCATATATGGCCTTGGTCTGACCATATGTCCTTACCTGAGCGGTTCCGTTCTAGTACCCTGCTCCCTTTGACGTGGCACAGGTCAGCTTGTGTGCTGTTGCAGGTCGTGTTGAGATCAGGTTTGCAGTAGGTGGGGGACCCTCCCTGTACCTGAGGGATGTGTTTCTTCCTCTTCTTGGGCAACTTCTGCTTGGCCATGGCCAGGGAGTAGTACATCCCAAAGTTATTAACGATAACTGGCACAGGCATGGCTATCGTCAGCACACCAGCTAAAGCACATAAGGCACCCACCACCATGCCTGACCAGGTCTCTGGATACATGTCACCATAGCCCAGTGTAGTCATGGTTACCACAGCCCACCAGAAGCCAATGGGGATGTTCTTAAACTTGGTGTGGTCGCTAGCAGTGGGGTCACCAGGTTTGGCACCGATTCGTTCGGCGTAATAAATCATGGTGGCAAAAATTAATACTCCCAACGCTAGGAAGATGATGAGCAGCAGGAGTTCATTGGTGCTGGCCCTTAATGTGTGGCCCAACACCCTTAGCCCCACGAAATGACGTGTTAGTTTGAAGATACGCAGAATACGAACAAAGCGCACCACCCTGAGGAAACCCAACACATCTTTGGCAGCCTTTGAAGAAAGGCCACTCAGCCCTACCTCCAAGTAGAAAGGCAGGATAGCCACAAAGTCAATGATGTTGAGCACACTCTTAACAAACTCCAACTTGACTGGGCAGAAGGTCACACGCACCAGGAACTCAATGGTGAACCAGAAGACGCAAACCCCTTCCACATATGTGAGCGCAGGGTCAGTTTCAATCTCGTACTGAGGCCCTGAGTCCGGCACGCTGCTGTTCCGCATCAGCTCAGTCTTGTTGATGACTGTGTTGAAAGCTTCATGAGTCTCCAAGCAGAAAGTGGTGATGGAGACCAAGATGAAGAACAAAGATGCAAAGGCAATAAACTATAAGAAAGCAAAACAGAAAAAGAGAAACACATATGTTAATATCAATCCATACCTGACATTTCAGGTTATTTAAACCACAACATTCTATATTGTCATACCTACATACAACACCAATCACACACCAGTCAATTCATTTACTCTTTAGAAGTTAAGTAAACACACAAGTTGAATTAACTTGCAACAGTTTGAATGGACTCAAGCAATTTATTAGCAAGAACAAAAGATAAACACATATTTGCCTGGGCTTATGGTGGAAATATAGCATGGCAATGCAAATGCAATCAAGTGTAATTTACTGCTGCTGGTATGTTGGACTCCTGCCTTCAGGGAGAAGGTATCGGGGTCTTCAGGCCCACTCTGCCAGACTTACAAACAGCTTTATCCACCAGGCTGTGAGGATGCTGAACGCTGATTTTTGATTTTCTGTATGTCCTGCATATATAGCGAATTGACAATAAAAATCTTTGATGTTGATTTTATTAATACACAATTAAATGTGCCAGTTGTGAGCATTACTATGGAAGCTCAATATTCAAGTAGTGCTGTTTATCCATTATTTGAAGCCAAAGAGGGGGATACAAAGCTGTGGCATCATACATTTTCAGTCCACTTTCCACAACAATTTTGTATACACCATTACCCAGGACACTATTGTCCAAACTTAACCTAACATACAGTGCACATATCAAAAAATACCTCCACATAGCACCTCTGAATCCTATACTTACACAAGCAGAGAGCAGATATTTGGTGATTTGACCCATATGCTCTGTTCAGGTCAGTGGCTGCCCAGCGGACTTGGTAGCAATCACATCTCAGAGCTTTAGTGGGCTGAATATGTGTACTATATGTGACTAGTGCAAAAAATAAAAAATAAAAATAAAATAATACTAATACTAATAATGCTAATAATTCTTCTCTTGATTCTCTTTAGTCTTCAATAAAACCAAAGTCAAATTAGAAGTAAAACCAGTAAAAATGCAAAGACTAGGATTGATCTTGTGACCCTTTGTTAACATCCCAGTGCCCAGGCTGAGAACCAGATGATTTGCTGCCCATGAAACCATTCTAAACCATTCTACCAGAAAACCATTCTATGCCAGTGGGAGAGGGATACATATGCAGTTATATAACTGTAACTGTTTTATAGTTTGTAAATAAAATATCTATATTTTAGTGTAGATGCTTTGTTGGGCATTTTCAAAACAAAAGTGGTCAAACAGGTTATTGGAGGGATCTATATGGACCATAGACTATATAAATATGGATGATGGATCACCACTCCCCTCCTCTATGCAAAAGTGAAGCCAAAATATTGCAAATAGAGCACATTCTGCACAATAGGAGGTGAGTGACTTAAAAAACAAAAACAAAAAAACACACAAATTACCTCTGGGAAAAATGTATCTGATTTGTACTTTGAGTTTTGAGTTTGGTCATGTTCCATCCGCTAACCTCGAGGGGGCGGGGTTTATGACCTATACTGCAACAAGCCACCAGGTGATGATGAAGTCATGTTGGCTTCACTTCTGGGAGCTGTTATGGCATCCATATTTTATGCTGTAGATAATATAGACAACTTTTGTTCAGTTGTCATGGAGATGGTGAAGTTGTTATCATGTATGGGGAATTATAACCCCTGTCGCTGTTCAAGGATGGTTACTGGAGTTGGATGTGAATGGCATCCTTGATCCATGGCAGTTGTTCCAGCTGCTGATGAGGACCATTAGATGTTGCTGAAAGCCCAGAAAGAGCTGGTAAAAAGACTCTGAGTATTATGAGTATTTTGTCAAACTACAATGTCATAGGTCATAAATAAACTTGGCCATGCTCTACTTATTTGATATTCATTAATTAGCAATTAATTCCTTACAGATTCACTGGTAAGCACACATGAACCCAAAGTGTTGTGACACCAATGCAGAGTTACACTGTGTTGTATGTTTTACTACAGCAAGTGAAATTCTGGCACAACCATTACTTTAAAATGGTGTCTGCCATTTTTAATAAGAAATTTGTGGCATGCTTGCATATTTTAATAAATCTTCCTCATGAGAACACTCCTGCAGGGTACAGATAGATTTTGCCAGTACTATAAATATTTTACACTGTCTATAATCACTTATTTGTCACTTAATAGAGCTAGAACACATGAACCATTTTTTCTCACTCGTTCTCCTGTATAGGCAGCAATGTCCAAGGGCAAAGTCAAGCACAAATACAGAAGTAACACCTAAATAGTCCCCTTGAGTGCTGTTTGCTAGCCCCTTCGGTCATATCTACTGCCAGAAGCATACAAATAAGGATGTTTTTTTGGGATGCTATATTCTCACCAGATTTACAGTTGGTAGGGTAACAGGGGAAAGACCATTTGCCATCATGGAATATCTAATCTGTTAAAATGTGACTGGCAACCAGGGAAAGCAAGGATGTGGACATGAGAGTGGCAGTGAAAGGAATCACTTTTACATTTTTAGAGCAATGAGAGTAACACTGACAATACAGTATTTGCATGTACTGATGCATGCAACAACTCCTATCCCTCTAATAATGGGAAGTTCTATTGCAAAAATGTCATAATTATTCCTAAATTTTTGCAATACAACTTAAGTAATTCATTCCTTGGCTGACAAAATTATAGTATGTTGATACACTACATCTGAATTTGTATGGTAACAGTGTGAAATGATGAGTTACATACAGATTTTGTTTTTTGATCAGTGGGTCTTATTCTGTTTAACCTTCTTTTGCAAAGTGTTTATGGAACCACCTGTCAGAAGCAGGGCTCATATCCAGATATTCCACCACCCTGGCAGAAATTCAGGCTGAATTTGCAAACATCCATGGCTTACTTTGAGAGCTAGACAGAGCAGATTTCCACACATGCAGCCCATTATGCTCCTTCTCCAGCTTCCTCCCACAATCCATCCACTAGCTCACTCTGCCTACTGAGCTCTAAAGAAGTCATTTCACACCCTGCCTTGTTTTTGAATTGCATGACTCACACACTCTCAGAATATCATCGCCACTATTTGGGTCACCCTGCTCCTGAACTGTGTGAGCGCATTCACTCTACTGCTGTTATATATTCATGTATTTTACGTGTGTCCCTGTCATCCTGTAAGTGTTCTCATTCGCTGACAGTTTTTAAAGCATGTTAGAAAATGACACCTTCTATTTGATGAGGTTACTCAGCATCATTCAATTGTCACTCAGCAATAGCAATTTTCTGTGTCAAAAAAACAACAACCATCCTGCCGATTTTAATTTCTTTAAAAATGTACATGATTTCAATTAATATGTTTCCAGTCTTCTTGCATCAGTGTAAGTCATATTTCTATTTACAAAATGGTCACAAACACCTGCATGTTCTGCAAAGTTGCTTTACTTTGCATGCCTTTCTATAAAAACTGATCTTCATTTTAGAAAACATCAAACATGTAGCATGTGTAAATCTAGACTGAATTTTGACTGTATTTTTTCTGTATGACAAAATAATTAACATGAACATTTGGACACGCACGCCATATATGTGCATGTATCCCAGGCAGCACCATCTACTGAAGAAACATTCTTGTGCCTATGGCACCACAAGAGTAAGAGACAAAGGTGTTCATGTTTCCAACTCTAACATAGTTCATACACCACATTTGGTCTTCTGAAGCTGTAGTTAATATAGAAAGGTAGCTGTTTACACTTAGCTGTTTGAAATCAGACAGCTGCTCATGATGCATGAAGTGACTCATTTAAATGGGGTCGGCACTGCTGTAACAGAGACATCGCTGGAGAGAACAAATGCTGATAGTTGAAAATATTTTTATTCAGAGGAAATAGTGCTGTATGTCTCTTTGTATTTGTACATAACATTCATGTCAGCATTTAGATAAACTTATAAATCTAGGATTTATATGACACCTCTACTATACCCAGCTTGTTGTGTAATAATATGGAAGCACCCACAAGATTAAACAAGCATGGATGCCTCATTTGAGCCAAAGCCTGAAGTTTAGGTACAGCACTACTATTACTACTACCGCCTTTAGCTGTTCCTTGTTAGGGGTCGCCATAGCATGTATACATTTGGCATGCGTCTCCTAAACCAAATTGCCCTTGCAATTTAGAGTCGCCAATCAACCTAATCTGCATGTCTTCGGACTGTGGGAGGAAGCTGGAGTACCTGGAGAAAACCCATGCAAGCACAGGGAGAACATGCAAACTCAGCACCGGAACCTTCTTGCTGTGAGGCAACGGCGCTAACCACCGCACCACCATGCTGCCCCAAGTTTAGGTACAGTAATTACATTCAAATATAATCATCATATTATCAATGCGCAGGAAAAGCCTGACTTTTAGTGCAGTAAATGACTTGAAAAAGAAAAATAAGGCAAGACAAAACAACAAAATACTCCCAGAAATGTATAGTGCTCTTAGTGACTTTGTTTAAAGTAGTAAAATTGTTAAAGGGTAGACTTTTCCTTTAACCATGGAAAGTCCATATGCAAGAGTTCTGTTCCTACTGTTTAATTCTATTCCTTTCTCTCACCCCTCCCTGTGTCTTTTTCTTTGTCTCCATCTTATTATGGTTGACTGAACCAAACAGCAGGCCCACCTGAACTATTTCCTGTGGCTGCTCAGATGCTGTGCCAGCTAATGACAACTGCTGTCTCATGCTGGCCTTTAGGTTTGTTGCAGTCACGTCTGCAGAAAGAAGATATATCATCTCCCTAGTGCACACCAGCCTGGAGCAGCTAACTCATTTCACTTTAAACCAGCCAGACACCAAATGCACATGCATACACAGTGCACTAACATGCAGGTGCACACACTGATACGCTGGTTTATACACATACTGTACATACACACACACACACACATACACAAGGCCTCACAATTTGATTTATGTTAGACATGAAAAATGCAGCGGTGCTACTCGGCCATGTGACTGCAACAGGCACATGTTTCTCGACATTCTGATTTCCAGAACACACACTCTGAAT